TAAAATGGCCGAATGCAAGGAAATGAGTTTACAATTCACTAAAAACGGAAATATGCAAGGAAATGAGTTTATGTCGTTTGTAAAACAAGGAAATGAGTTAATTCTCCGAGCTGGGAATATTTTTCCATCAAATGAGTGATTCACCCATCATCTTTATCGTGCACCACTGACTTACCACCAATCTACAAGAGTCACCTTCAATCAATGACACAAGCGTTTTGAACCAAGCGGCAATCACCTCCGTTTTGGATCCTGTTTCACTTTATCAACGAAGATCAAGTACTATTTGTCGCAAATGGTTTTGATATCTCGTCGTTGCGTTTCAAGTCGACCGATGCAGCGATCTCTATCTTTCCGGAGAGCTTTATTTTTTGCTACGACGGTTTCGATATCACGTGCGAAAGCATTTATAGGACATCCGAATCTGTCATCTGTGTCTCCCTCGCGCTGCACGTTTTCTTCTGGCTGTAAGCATTGGTCCTCGAGAATACCTGATGAACATCCAAGAGAGTGTATTTTGAAGCGATCGCCAAAAGAAGATGAGGATATACTAGATCGAACACTAGATTGGGTGCAACGAGCAGTGATTGGTCTCAATCTATGTCCTTTCGCGGAGAAACCTTTTCAAAAAAGGCAAATGAATTTGGAAGTTATTCGTGGAACGGATCAGGTAGATATCCTAGCGAAGGTATTGGGGGAATGTTTGGTCCGGGAAAAACAACCAGGTACTTGTACGTATCTCGATGTTCAATGCTGAAAATGAAATCGTTGCTATCAACTTTTCTAATGAGCCCTACTCATATCATGAATATAATTTGCTGCGAAAGCCTTGATGATTTGTCCAGATCTTTTCCCTTCGAATTTCCTTTCATTCCTTGAAGTTTACAATATGCTGCAGGACGGAGTCTTGGTTGACAATGATCTTGGTGGACGCATCCAAATCGCTCCTTTCCATCCATATTTTGAGTTTGAAGGATCAGGGGACAATATTGACAATTTAACAAATAGAAGCCCATTCCCAATATTCCACATTTTGCGAGAAGAGGAAGTTGGCGTAGCAGTAGATGCCTTAAATGGCGATTCTGAAAAAGTATGGAAACGAAATGTCGAACTTCTGGAAGAGTTAGAGGAACAGCTAGGGAGAGATAAGGCTACTAAAGTTCTAAGTGGAGAGGAGCCAGATATCATAACTAGTAAAAAAGTCAAAGAGGTGCTTAAAATGATGAAGAAAAACAGACCTATATAGTGAATATATAACACTCCTGTGGGTTCACACAAAATGAAGGAATAGTTCTGAAATTCCAGCCTCAGAGACTTTATCACCATTCTGGTTCTGTTGCCAGACAGGATTCTTGAATAGAATATCAACTAGCAGTGCTAATGAATTAAACAAAAACAGAATAACAAGAAAATAGTAATGTTAGTAATAGTGAATGGAAGATACCTCCTGCATGTTCTTAAGGAAGGAATACTATTTACAATCTGAATTGAAGGGTTCATCAAAGTCAGGAAGTCACTTGTTGGCATGGCCCCTGCTGTTTCATTTTTGTTAATAATGCAGGCTGTAGCAAAAAGTCAATAGATTACCACAACACCATGTTTGTTGCTTCTGCACATTTTGTGGCAGGTGGGAAACTAAGATAGGATTGGGTCATTCCCGATAAAATTGAAATATGTCTTTTTTTCCTGGCCAGCTCCATTTATGTATCTCAGATACTCAGGTACTGGTTGTTGTGGGCCCATGACAACCAAGATCTGTGTATCTGACATAAATATTTATTGGAATTCTTGAGTGAACATTTTCAGTCTCATGAGCTGGTGCACATGATATGTTATTGGGAATGACCCATTAACAAAGGGCCCAAAGGATTAAATTGCAATTGGAAAAAGGTACTGAAGGAAACTACTACTATGAATATGAAAAGGCAACTATGAATTCAAAGAGTTCCTTCATTTTTTTGTTCAAGTGAGTCGAACTTTACAAATTGAAAAGAATCTGAACAAATCTGAAAAAAATATGGATCGCATGACCGGTCGACAAAGTAAAGCATCGAAGGCAGTGGTGGTGGACTCTTCCACTGAGTATGGGAAAGAATATACTAGAGGACATATCTTCGGCTGAAAAACAAATCACCAACTTGAAAGTTCCAAGAAGGTACAATTAATAGAAGCACGGTGTTAAGCATGATTGCTAGACTGACATCTTTGCTATTCGTCTTCTCCGCTCTCGAAACCATCGCGTTCCTCGCACCGAAAACTACTCTGTCGACAACGATTGACAAGCATCGCACTTTCCTCGCTACCACAAAGAACGGATGCCTTAATCTACACACACTGTATGCAAGCGATCGACACAAGAACTTCGCAAAGATGCTGCCGAAAGCAATCATTTTTGACCTCGACGGCTGCGTGTGGGCACCGGAAATGTACCAATTGATGTACGGGTCTCCGTTCAAAAAGGACCCGGAAAACATTCCAGATATGCTGACATGTAACAACCAACCCGTGAGGCTTTTGGGCGATATTCGGAACATTTTTGAGGAACTTTATACGCAAGAGTGTTTCGATGGTGTAAAAATTGGCATCAGCAGTAGAACGGATGAACCAGATTGGGCGAGGGAATTGTTGTCGAAGTTCGAAGTTACCGTGAATGAAAAAAGTCAGCCTATACACCTTATCAACATATTCAATGGGCCTGTGGAAATTGCAAAGGATTCAAAGAAGGCTCATTTTCGAAGAATTCATGCCAAGACAGGTATCAATTATGAAGATATGCTATTTTTCGACAATGAGTTTGGAAATTGTGACCAAATCGCTTCTATGGGGGTTTCTGTCGTATACTGTCCGGATGGAGTGACTCGTAAACTCTGGGATATGGGACTTCACGATGAGTTCCCTAGAAGCGATGGGTCCGTTATCAATGGTGATCAAGGACTATTTCGGTGGTGACAAAATAATAATTTGAGATATCGCTGATAATACATTTGCGTACTAGAGAGCACACTGTAAAATAATGCTAGTAACAAGTGCTTCGACCAATTCTTTCGATCCATGTTTTTCAATTTAGCTGTGACCTTGGTCTAGGACATCTCAAACATATTTCCGTACCTCCAGCGAAGAATGAAGTTTGGAAGGTCAACTCTTTACTAAATGTCGTCTTTCCTAGTTTCCGTCACCATGGATTGAATTCATCATTTATTTTGTGCTCCTTGGGCATCAACACTTTACTCGATAATCCAATGCCGACTGACGCATCGAACAAACGAACAGTAGCCAGCATGGATTACATCATGCGCAGCAGATAGTTCGCATGCTAAAAAGTTGGTCGGTAGCATTCATCTCGATGAATTCGGCCATCCGATCACATACTTCTTCCTGCGTCACAATGGATGCCTCGACCACGGTCGAATGAGCCTTTTCGGGGTATGCCGCATGAACGAAATTCGACTTTTTACCAACGCAACATCCACAAGGCCCACTTTTTCCGTTTTCAAAACAGTTGTCGTCCAGTCCATCCACTGACACACCTCTCAGAAAAATGACTGATTATCTTCAGGTCACTCTGCCGTAAGATGGACTATCGATTACCAGTGTCTCCCAATCTGAATCACTGATGACAATCCTTCCAACACCAGGCTTGGAATTCTCTTGCCATTTCCTCAAAGGGTTCGTTCGGATTTGATAAGTGCCCCAGGATTATTCGTAGCGATAAGTTTCGTAGGAATTCGACGGAGTTGCATCGTCGTGGTCCTGTTCATTGTCCCCGTGACCGCCAATCACCACACTCTCGGAGATATTATTGGCACTTATGATGTCTTGCGTTCGTGCCGAGGATCATTACTGTGTTTCTCTCACCATGATAGCAAATGAGTCCAGGCACGCAACCCTCCCATAGTTCACCGATCGCTTTGGTGCCCCTTTAGTTGCTCGGTAGTTCTGCTCTCGTCAAGATATCGGCACCCGTTCCTCAACCAATGCCAATGATGGAATCCCTGGGCCATCATGCCGCACACCTGATCATCGATGACAGTCCTTCGAAGAAGCCGTCGTGTTATCGCATGCCAGTCCAGAGGTCTGAAGCACCGTCAGGATTCTTCGAATCGTGTTCTTGTTCGAAACAATGGTTGAGATCCTTTGTCCACTGCCCAAGCACGGATGCGACCGACCACGACACTCCCCGGTTGACACGAAACATTCAAAAAAGCGTCGTGTCCTGGTCACCAACAGAAGCTTACGCAGGCTTCAAATTTTTACTGAACGCACTGAACAATCAAAACGAAAAGATTTTGTCGAGTTTCTACTTGCAAGAACGCTAATGAATCCAACTACAGTAATGAATCCAATTTTAAATTTTTTTTCCACTCCGTCAAAAAACTCACGACTAAAGTACCGGTACTAGTAAAAAATAAGGTGACCATCAAAAATCGAAAGCACCATCAGTTTGAATGCCCGATTGACTCATTCGACTAACCATGGATCTTTCTGTCGAAGAGAAGAAACTCTGGTGATTTTTGATTTTTGACACCTGATTTTTCCATTGCATTCTCGACTTATCGGGGGTTTTCGGTTTTCTTACTGTACCGTAGCCATCGAAAATACGGTAAAATCTTTCAGAACGACACCCGTTTGTAGCAAGTTTCTTCTACAACCTGCATGTACATGATTGGCATCACCAATGCCTGCAGTTAACAGAAAAAGCAGAATAACGCTAGGAACTTGTATTGTTTTACAACAATTTATTGCTGCATGAGATTCCAAGGAGACACTCCACCGAACAAGCAGGTAATCATCATTCTGATCTTTATCGGGTATGTTCTTGGTTCGAACGTCGACGCCGACGACCGGCAGCACGTATAATCCGAAACGACGGCATCGGAACATTCTTTTCCTATTTTTTGGCTTCTATTGCTCTTACTGTTGGATTACCATTTCGATGAATACCATCAAGATTTCTTTCCCTCGGCGTCGATCATCTGTCGTGAGAAGCGGCAGTACGACATACTTCTTTTGCTTCGGTTGGAAGCCGTCTTCTCATTCAAAACGATGGGCGGGGACAGGTTTAGTGCAGACGATACAAAGGAGGAAATTATTGTATAGTACCCGTTTGGAGGATATCATCCATCCTCGGAATAGTGGGATCGATGCCATTCTTGGATTTGGTCGTTCTTCGTCGTCATCGTCGTCGTCTACAAAACTGTTTATGGTCAAAGCCAAAACGACTAAGAAATGGGAGGTAGGGGACCTGGTGAACATCCTTTCCAAAACTGATGATGTATCAGCTCAGAAAGGAGAAATAATAGCGATTCGGGGTGGCGGGTGGTATTCAGTTGGACTCCTACAAACTGCAGAAAATTGCGATGTCGATCAAGAAATTATCAAGTGTCGAGGAACCCAACTGCAACAATTGGCATTTGACATCAACGACGGGAAGGCAGTCGAAAGTGACAAGAAGACCTCGACTTCCAAGAACAACAACGACACCAGCAAAAACGCCAGCAACCTTCAGATAGAAATAACTCCGCATTCATCGGCTATCCCTGACGCAAACGGCGACGGGGAATTATCCCATCTTCCGTCCCCTACGATCTATGATTTTGACGCAGGGGTGTTGCAGTTTCAAGAGGGTTCCTCCAGAGATTTAATTGGAAACAACCCGGTACTCGACGAACGAATACTTCGGCAAGTGGCACACCATGCTACTTACGAACGATGGGTGGTATTTACGGACCTGCATTGTTCACCCGCAACCCTGGACACTTGCCTGGAAGTTTTGGACGTGGTCCACGACACTGCCATGCAACAAAAAGAGAAGTGCGGGGTGCTGTTTCTCGGCGATTTTTGGCACCACCGGGGCACGCTCCGAGTGGATTGCTTGAATGCCATCCTCGGTGCACTCCGTTCCTGGAAGGTACCGATGGTCATGATACCTGGCAACCACGACCAGGTGACGCTCGGTGGCCAAAATCACGGTCTGACACCTCTCGAAAACGCCTATCGTGTTGGGGACGTTCCTGGCCCATTGGTACTGTCCCACCCTACCCGATTCCGAAATGCGTTGTTTGTTCCACACGTAAGGGATATTAATGCGATGAAAGCGATCTTGAGCTCGAGAGAATGTCAGGATTCTTCTGCACTATTTTTACACGCAGAAGTCAAAGGGGCGTTGATGAACGACATGGTCGTCTCGACGCAAGGCATCTCTCCGTCGATGTTTCCCATGCATAAGCACGTCTACTCGGGACACTTTCACAATCCTCACTCTGTCAAGAGTTCACTTTGTTCCACCATTGAGTACGTGGGATCTCCGTATCAAATTTCTCTAGCGGAAGCGCACCAAGAGAAGCAACTGGTTGTATTGAACGAGAAATGGGAATGCCAGAAGCGGATTCCCATAAGCGTGGGGAGACGCCATTTTAAGATATCCTCTTTGGAGGAATTGGAACAAATTCATGTGGAGTTGGAAAAAGTTTCTACTGTTACAGCAGAAGAGGTCGAACGGGATGGTTCAACTGACGTGAGAAGGGGTGATCGAATCGTAATGAGTGTCCCCAAAAAGGAACACAGAAGACTCGAAAATTCGGAATACCATACTACCTTGGCTTCTAGTGTTCGAACGTTACGGGACAAAGGCCTCGTCGTCGAACTTCGTGAGGTCGGCGAGAAGATTAGCCCGTGGTCGAGAAAGTTGGCAAACGATGTTTCCGATAGTCCTGAGTTTGATGAAATGACTCCTGAATCATCATGGAGGGCATATCTGAAGGATGAAACGGTACGGAGCGCCATCAGTGATAGTGATTGCGATACACTCCTTCGGGTTGGATTGGGAATATTGCAAGAAATCGATTCAGATAGCACCCAAAGCATTGCAATGCAACGGAATTTGAAGCTAACAAGTGTAACGATTACTGGTTTTGGTCCGTTTGAAGATACAGTCGAATATCCGTTGGATGATCGAGGATTGGTCCTACTAAGAGGTACGCCATAGTTTTCTATATCGTTCTCAAACTTTTGAGAAAATGGCAGCACTTCTCTTACCATACTCTTCCTTTTGATGTTAAATCAGGCTCGAATAAGGATTATGGGCCAGATTCGAATGGAACTGGTAAGTCTTCACTAGCAATGGCCACTTTGTGGGGATTGACTGGGTCCTTGGATGCAAGACCTTCTGCTGATATGAAAGTGGCAGACGTGATAAATGATAACTCGAAAACTGCAAAGGTCACTGTTGAAGGTTTCATCAATAATTCCCCATTCGTTATCATTAGGAGTAAAACAGCGTCAAAAGGGGACCTCCGTTTTGAGCTAAACGATGTCGACTTAACAACGCAATCCGTGAAAGAGACACAATCAACCATAGAAGAGAAACTTGGTGTAGATGCCCATATCTTGTCCCGGGTCGCTTTCTACGGTCAACATGGAATGAATGATCTTCTTGAGGCAACAGATTCAAAGCTAAAAGACGAGTTATCGTTACTAGTGCCTCTTGATCTTTGGCAACAAGCAACATCTACTGCCCGAGCGAAAGCGCGTTATGCTAGAAAACGAGTAGACGAAATGGAAGGTATGATAAAATTACGAAAATCAGATATCAATGGATTGTCGAGTCGAGTTGCCGGTGCTGAAAGAGCAAGAGATTTAAAACAAACGCGAGTGCTAGAGGCAGAAGCCATATTCAACCAAGAGCTGACAAAAATTCAGGAACTGCTAGATCGAAGCGCTGATTCAAAGCTCGAAAAACTACAAACTGAGTTAGAATCTATTTCTTCGGAAATCAAGAGACTCAGTGACCTCTATGACTCCACATTGGCAGATAAAGAGGCCCAATTGAAACCGTTAGAGGATGAGTTGTTTGGAGTGAGAGGAATTGTAACAACGATGATAAGGGAAAAGAATCGGTTTGAGATGGATGTACGAAGCAACAAAATATTACTAGATTCTGCAACAGTTCACATCAACCAAATTCAAGAAAGGTGGTCGCTTTGTTTGTCCGATGGTATACCACTCGATTTGAAGCCTCCAGAATTTTGTCCAACTTGCAACCAACCTCTTCAGGCTGAGGGATCAGAGGGAGGATCGGAAGGTCTAGAAAGTGTTCAGAAAGCGATGGAGAATGAAATCAACGAAGCTCGTATTTCTTTCAAGAAGGCAGAAGTTGCCCTTGAAGAATCTCATCGCAAAATGGCAGAGTGTTCGAAGGATTTGGAGTTGAAAGAAGAGTTGCTCGACGATTTACAATTGAATCATGAGGAACTACTTTCGAGGTGGGTTACGAAGTTGAACAATATCCAAGATGGAATGAAAGAAAAAAGGAATACTCAACATGAAATATCGTCTCAGATATCGATGGTTGTAAAAGAATCTCAATTAATCAGCCAGAAAGAAGCCGCCAAGGTTAGACTCGATTCGGAGAAATTAAACTTTGCTCACGCAAATCAAACCTACGAGACGTTGAGCCGGGAGCTGGCCAATGCAATTGATTTTCTGGAAGATTTAAATTCACAAAAAGACGAGGAGGAAAACGATCAGAGAATACTGTCTAGTATTGGGGAAAGATTTAGTCAGAGGGGCGTTCAAACGTTTATCCTACAAAATGCGGTGAACTCCTTGCAAAACACCGCGCAGTTTTATCTGGACTATCTCAGCGATGGAAGCCAGCGCTTAGAACTTTCTCTGGAAGCGGGCGACAAAATCTTACGCAATGCATTCGTTCGTGGGGCAGATGGAGAATTCCGGCAGCGTCCGCTATCGACGTTATCTGGTGGTCAATGGAGACGTTGTTCTTTGGCTCTCTCGTTTGCATTTGCAGAATTGGTTGCTGCGAAAGGGAGATTAAGGTCATCGTTGCTGGTTCTTGATGAGCCACTAACCCATCTCGATCGATCTGGTCGCACAAAATTTGGAAAATTAGTGAGAGAGATTTTGGGAGCGAAGCAGAAGAGCGAGAAAGGCACGTCTGGTTTTGAAATATCAACAGCTATTGTGATTCTACAGGACTTGTCAGCGGAAGAGCTTGAAGAAGCATTTGATGGTATTGACACAGTGGTCAGAAATCATGGAAAAAGCATTCTAAAGCTTGACGAGATGAGTTCTAACTAGGCCAAGAAGATTCGTTTTCAACCTCTATTTATCCCTCTCTATCATACTACTGCAATTCTCGATCAAGGATAGTTTGACCTGCATAGCTTTGCTAGTCAAAATGTGCTCCTAGTAGAGTACTATCATCCGCTTGACGCTCACAAGTATTAGTAGTATTACCAGTAGTATTAATATTACTCCTATAATAATAATGATTTGACAACACAAGTTACAAACAGTTAACCAAGTAGTAATTTTGTGTGTGTAGGTACTTGAGTCAGGTTTTGTTACCAAAGCAGTGATATGCATTATCTTGTTTGTGATCTAGTAGTCATATGCTAGAACTAGGTGAGTAGACAGCTGAAGTACTACTAGTAGTATTATAGGGAGTGCAGCAATGCTGAATGTTGTAGAGCACAATTTTGGTAATTTTTTGGTATGGACTGGGGTTGGTGATCAAGCAATAGGTGCTAGAGATTACGTTTTTGCCTGTTTCACTGCATTCTAATAGAACTGTTTTTTGTTGTTTTGAATGTGAACAGAAGAAGGGTAACAGCAACAAGAAAGATTATTCTTATTATCTCAAACCCACCTGTCTGAGAGAGCAGCAGGGAAAAAGTGATTGCTTCCAAAAGGATAACCAAGTGATAGATCTACACCAGATTTTTAGCATGAAGAATGTAATGCTCCTACCTGCCCACAGGTGTAGAAAATGATCTCACTTTTAAAGAGGTCAAATTTCCTATAAGTAGTAGTGCAAATAGTACTACTAGCAGTTTTAGGTTCAGATCTAAATATCTTCTTATTGCAAAAATTTCCAACCAAATAATCTCTGGAATTTTATATTTCTTCCCACTACTAGTACTACTAGTAGTAGTAGCTCAAAGAGAGACAAATTATTTATTATCATAGTTGTTCATTCTTCTGCATACCCCTGGTGGAGCTGAATTTGAAAAATACACCATATCTTTTTGTACAGCTGGTCCCAATAACCTAAGGGAGCAACTGTTTGTGGTTTATCTTGAAGAAGAAACTGGGGATAGATCAATAAGATCTGGTAGATACTGGGGGTTGGGGTTGGGCACAAGTGTCAGAAACAACAACATGGTGACCAGAATCTGCTTCCAGTCCTTAAGAACTGGGGATGGATCCAGATGAGGCATACTGCACGCAGCTGGGGGGATAATGATCTCAGCAGAATCAGCTTGGTTGGATTACTGTAAGGGAAACTTGGGTTGTTATTGTTGCTATCCAACACAAGTGTCGGAAAGAACAACATCGTGACCAGAAAATACTGGGGCTTCTGGTCTGTAAATACTGGAGCTGCATGGAGATGCTGGGGGAATCTTCTTTGAAACTGAGCATGGTGTAGCATATATTCCAGGCGTAGTTCTGCAAATAGGTCTTGGTTGGTGGTTGAATACTGGAGGCTGGAGTTTTGTTGTTGCTATCCAACACTAATGTCAGAAACAACAACATTGTGACCAGAGAACACTGGGGTTACTGGGGATGCTGATATCATCATCCTCATGAATATATGGCTTTAATAAGCATGTTGGGTTGTTGTTCTTGTTCTTGTTGTTGTCCAACACAAATGTCAGAAACAACAGCATTGTGACCAGAAAACACTAGGGCTTCCGGTCCGTAAATAATACAGGAACTGCATGGAGATGCTGGGGGATCTTCTTTAAAACTGTGTATGTAGCATATACTCCAGGCACTGTTCTTCACAGGAAAGATCTTGGTTGAATACTGGGGGCTGGGGTGAGAGTTGTTGCTGTCCAACACTAATGTCGGAAACAACAACATCACGACTGGAAGAAACTGGTACTCCTGGTCAGTAAGAATAGGGGATGGAACCACCAGCTGAGACAGACTGCCACTGGCTGGGGACATGGAATGATATGAATGGAATGATTTATAGTCTTGGTTATTGTCTGAATGGAGGCCAGGGAGGTGGGTTTTCCCCTTTGGAATGGTGTGTCACCATAGTGGTTTCCGACGCCAGAAGGTGCTGGTCAGGTATGTGGCACTATGTAGGAATCAGTAGGAAATCTAGGTGATAATTTTCAGAAGAGAAGTGTAATTTCATGCATTTGAAAAAAATGATTTGAAAATTATAGTCCTTCATTCCAGTATTTAACAGAATCAAATTACTCCTAAGACTCAAAAAAATAAGTCATATTTGTGGTTGGTCATTCCAAGAATTTAAGAGAACCACCAAATTGCTCCTAGCACAAAAAAAATCTGTTATATTAATGATTGGTCATTCCAAGATTAAGAGAACTATATTGCTCCCTGCACTCCCAAGACTAAAAAAATCAGTCATGCACTCCCAAGACTAAAAAATCAGTCATATCGTCATTCCAAGATTGGATAGAACCAAATTGCTCAAAAGTCTCAAATAAATAAGTCCAATTTGTGATTTGTCATTCCAAGATTTAAGAGAACAGCGGCCTAAATCCTCCAAAGACTCAACAATGCAGTAATTATTGTGATCAGCCATTTGGACATTGAAAAGAACCAAACAATAATAAATATGGACAGCTCTAGCTATATTTATGGCTAGTATAATAGACATGATGCACTGACAACTTGTTGGACAAGTTTGAGTCATACAAAAAATATTGCCAGTTCCTCTCCAAGAAGTTGGGGAAGAGCACTAGCAATGCCAATGCCAACATTGACAGCCTCTACAACAACATTTAGTCAACAGCAAATGGGCTAACTACTACACCAATGAGGAGTCATTGCCATGATTGGTCATTCAAAATCAATCTGGTGGAACTTGATAAATTCTGTCACAAGCCACAAAACCATCAAAGAAGAGCAAAACCCAAAGCCTACTAGCCGAGTAACTAGAAATATTTGATGTTGTGAACTAGCTAGTAGAGGCATTAGGGAAGCTAGAACCATCACTTCTTGCTGGTGCAAGAAGGTTGCTTCTGCTACTACTACTAATACCAGTTGCTGTGAGGGATAGGACTCCAGCTGGAGAGGAAGGATGAGTGAGTAGTACAGATGTACTACTAAGAAGGTATGCTGGAATGATTTAAAGTATTGTTGTCTCTTTGTGGATTATTTATCAAAGACCAGCAACATATCTTGGGTGATGCTTTCCAATGGTTCTTGTTTCTTGAAATTAATATTCAGCAATAGAGGGAAGAAGTACTGAGCTATCAGATTGGTATTGTTAGAGCATCTTGAATACTCCTCTAGATTTTGTTCTTAAACTCTCATAGTTGTAGCATGAGGAGAATGAAGTATTGGTGGACATTGGATAGGAACAAAGCTTGGATAGGAACAAAGCTTCAGGGTCAGGGGGGCAACAATGTCGTGGCTTCAGTTGCACAAGTTTGGGGTGGAGACAACAAAACAGTTGATGACTCTCTCGTTCATTAATGATGCTTGGTGTAAGGAATACTTTTGGAGAACCGTGAGACCATCGAAAGTTGAAACAAGGAGGCTCCTGAAACCACAGGTAATAGGAACCTGAATTGTAATCTACTAGATCTGAGATCCAATGCTGGGAAATGTGGTCCATAAAAAGATGATTCCAACTGATGTTAGTCTGATACTAGTAGTGTTTTGCCAGATGGAGACTCACAGAGTATTCTTCTTGAGTACTAATACAGCAGGTGTCAAACCATTCTGCAAAACAGTTGGCCAAGGTTCCAGTGGGAATACTTAGTAGGAATCCAACAATTGTCAGTGTCTTCCTCAAAGATCAGACAGCATCATTCCAATCCCAGGAAAGTTAGCTGGCATGTAACAAATGGAGGATATGGATACTGTCATTGTGGAAGGAGGAGGAACAATAATGTGGAAGTTACTATCAACAACTTCACATCATGTACTGGAATCTTGGAAATATCAGGCACCACTATAAAGTTGAATTTTCAGAATGATAGGGATAGGGAAAGTGTGTAGCTAGATTGTTGCTGCTTGTGTTTTTGACACTTACAATCTATGCATTCATCTACTGAATTGAAGAAAAGGAGGGACTCCAAGGGAAGATTGGTAATATCTGTAACAAGTACCACAAACAAGATCTCAAGGCAATCATTGACAATAAAGAGCAGTTCATATGTTTATAGTATAAGGGTACTGCTGGAAAATCAAAAGTAATTTATTCAACTCAAACCAGTGGGAGGAGACTCTTCTTGTCAACAACAAGGGAAATTCCCATTAAGGCAGCAGCAGATAGCAATACCACACTGAAAGACTCCCAACCTACAAACCTGAGGACTTTGCTTGTCCACTTAACGTCAGTACCAGTAAAATTACTTCCTCCATATAAAGAAGCTTGTCATCTAATTATTAGATCTAGTAATGTTATAGGATGAGGATGCATGGGAAAATTAGATGTGCATACTCATTGTTGAAATTATATCATTTGCTACTAGCATCAAACAGTTGGATACATTGAACTTGTATCTGAACTTATTCTATGACAAGTTGTCATATAATTCCTATTGCAATTTATCACAGCTTCAACCAACTCAAACCAGTGGGTGGAGACTCACTCTTGATGAAAAAGAATTCTACTATCTCTGAAGAGAAAAAACAAACATTTCTTGAACTTAAAACAAACCACAGGTTCAAAATTGATGTAATCTGGGGGGAGCTTCGTGATGATTTAAGAACAAATGTCTTGAAAGAAGAGCATGTTCAAATCATCAAGTCAAAAATTGTAAAACCTTAGGACAGACTCCCAGAAGATATTGCTTATGCAACATACAACAATGCAGACAAGTGTGCAATAAATGATGGCATATTTTCAGAGTTTCTCAAAATCACACACTCAAAAAATAAAAATATGCTGGTAAGAACTCTTCACAAATTACATGGGAGATCCTTGTTGAAAAATATGTTTGTTTCAACTTGGTCTTACACAACAAGAAGAAGCAATTGGATTTAGTAGTATGTTGTTGTTCTTTCAGCAAGAAGAGTTAGAACTACTACTACTAGTAGGAGTAGTACTACTACTACTACCACGTCCGTTAACTGTTTCTCAACCAGTTTGTACCTGTTTGTACCCCAAAATTTTCAACTCGCAACCTAAAAGTTTTACTCCACACCACGTCTGGTACAGAAAAAAAAAATTAAGCACGTTACATCCCTTTTCAACAGATTCACCAACGAATTTAGAAAACTCCTCCCTCTATTCCTCATTTGACTCATTTGATTTGATATGAGTTGATACCAAAAAACCAGATCCACG